AGCCTGGTTCTGCTGGAGGGTTTTCAGTGCTGGTACAGGAGAGTTTTTTCTCCCCACTCAGGGAATCCAAAGGAAACTTTGGATTTGTTTGGTTTCTCTCTATTATTTTGTAAGCTTTTTACCTTAAGTACCTCAAGATGACATTTGCTGTAATTAACACGATATAAGTAAAATAAAATAAAACTAAACTGAAATGATACAGAAACTTGACAGGATTGGTTCCGTAGGTTTGTTTCATATAAAAAAAAACCCCCAGAAGTCTGAATCTGTGTTTTTGAGATTGTCATTGAAACACTTCAGCTTTAGGATGGAAACTCTCAGTCATGATGTTGACTTCTCATTTCACTCATGATATGTCTCCCAGCGTATCAAAATCCTCATATGGACATGGTCACAGGGTAAAAGAACAAACTTGATTTTCACCAGAGGGGGTTCTTTAATGTTCGGTGAGGGAAACACTGTCTTCACTGTAAAAGTCAACATTAGCTGTTGGCTTGAAACAAGATGCAAAGCCTCAAAGAACACATTACCGTTTGCTGTTTCTTCATACTTTTCACTAAGCTACATAAATGTTCAACTACCTGTTGCATTTACAATCAAAGCTCATAAATTGTATACAGATGACTTGTCCAATATGAACATAATTAATGGGGACACAGAGCTGACTTACACGAATAATGTGTCTCTATCACCCGAGCTTAGATGAGTTCTTGTGTTCTGAGGTGTTCCAGTCTACAGAGACTCACAGGAAACACAGTGTTGTGTCCCTGGAAAGTTGTGATCTGTCTCGTTCTCAGGTAAAATAGTGCTATTTGTTGTGCTAAATGCAATGAAATAAACAAAAAGGTTAATCAGAACTTGTATACTGCATATCAAGAGAAGAGTTAAAGTCTGCGTTATGGCATCTTTCAGAAGAGGTTTGCCCTCTTCTTCATGTCATTACGTTTCCAAAGGGGAAGTCTGTCAAATTCTTTAATCTCCATGCCAAAGATCTCGAAGAATGAATCGGGGGATAGGTGACGCTGAAAGCAGGAGAGAAGGGAAAAAAACATTACAGTGGAAATAGCTGCAGAGTTCATCTTTAATTATTCGAAAACATAACTCGTACTGTAGTTCTGACTGAATAAAGTGCCCTCATATCTTGTTTTTAACCTCTTAGTCGTGACACATGATGCCAACGTCAAGAAAGTCTTTATTTCCATCTTTGGTTTGCATCCAACTAAAATCTTAACTTGTGCCACATTGTATGAATCCTTTTCTCAGACTTTAACCTACCTCAAGTCTTGTTCTGTCGACATCCTTGGGAAGCTTCACTCGTCCTCTGTTGGTAACTGCAAGAACTTCATATGGGTAGACCTTGACGAAACAAAGAAGACTGGCTGAGAATAAGTTGACTATCACATATGCTAAACACCATCTTTGACAACGAGCTACTGACATGAGAGTTAACGTTAGAACATCATGTACCATGCAAGTATAATGCCCGTGTATTGTAAAGGTACTGCACAGTTGTCATGGATAGTCTAAGTCTATAGTTCTATTCTCCTTTTGTCAAAAGACTTTCACATATAGAAGGAAGTGTGATGACGGAAATGTCCTTGAATCTGCAGCGCTCTGTATTAACCTGAAGATTTACTTGTGTCATTAGTTCGAGCTCGTGTGTACACATGGTGGTAAGTCTTTGCAGTGACATTGCAGATACTTGCTTTTGGTTCCAGCAAATTAGGCATAGACACTCCTCTGTCCAGTCGTGTTAATAGATGTTGGCAGTCGAGGATGAGCTACAGAATGAAGCAAACACATGCGATGGGAAGACATTGTGGCAGGATTAATCTCTGGCAGATTACATGTGTTTTTCTGAGACAAAGCTGAATATGTAATAAGTAGAATATAAAAATGAATGAAGACATATGAAAATAAAACCAGGAATTGAATCTGTTTACTTCTGGAAACAGGCATATGCACACTGATCAGTTCAGTCATGTGGAAATGCAACAAACCAAACAAGGATCAAGGAGTCAAATCTGCATCCATTCAGTTCCTGTCACATACCTTGAAATCTGAAGGCAAAGGATGAAGCACAAAGAAAATATAAGTAATGTGTAAAGAATCATCCACTTAAAACAGCAATAATTAACAGCACTGGTGAAAAAGAGCAGAGGTGTCTGATACTCACCTCTGACTCTGTCATCGCTGTAGTGGGAAAACTCTGACTGTGGCTTAATGAGGAAAAAAAAAAAGAAAAACAGTTTTCACAGTAGTAATACCTCAAAGCTGTTCATTAGGTGCACTGGATAAATGATCCACATATAATTTCTTTAAAGCGTTTGTAGAGATACTCGATAAATATGTGTATTTAAACCAAATCCACAAATTCATTAAACAAGAGACTGACACTTAATAGATTTCTACAGTATTTTTGTAGAGTGAATTAGGTATTAATGATGTGGTTCTTACCAGATTAAGCTCATTGTGACCATAACCAAGGAAAGAGGACGTCTGGGACGTGGAGGAATTGGAATCTAAGTAAAAGTGAAACAGCAGACAGATAAGCTCTTCATGAGACGACGTACAGACAGAACCAGAGCTCTGACTGAAATAGTATCGACTCACTGAGAGCAACAAAAGCTGCCAAGTTCTTCTCTTAGCCTTTTACCAATTGTTTTACCTCAGTGCTGCTCTAGTTCTTCTATTTCTGTTTATACATTTTACATAAGATATATATGTTTTACATTTATGTTTAGATTATGATCAAAAACTCGTCACCAAATTGTTAACTTCCTTGTAATGTCATGTTGCACAGGTTGGTTCAAACAAAGGAAATCAGTCAGCTGTGTTAACATTGAACTGTTCAAAAATGCAAATATATTCTTTAGAGCAACAAAACTGAGATTTAAAATGGACTTTTAATGCTTCAGTTATTGTTAACATGAATTTCAAAAGGTTAGGTGAACACTGTACCTTGCTGTTTATAAATGGGAGGCCTCCTGTACATGTTGAAGCCTTCGTCTGCTGATGGAGAAGGATGCAGAGTTAGCAGACAGTTAAACACTTGTGGAGTCTCAAATCACTTCTTTTGCTTTGGTCAGTATTTGGCAACCTAACATACAATTTTGATTGAACACTGCACAACAAAATGCATTCAAATAATTGGTTGATTTACAACATCACTGATTTTTCCATGTTTGGTTTAAAGAACAGAATTTTTTCAGTGTGAAAAAAAAAACAAGTGCAAAAAGCATTTCTTAAATGTCCTGCTCTGCTCAGCTCCAACTCGAGATCTGTTCATTCTATTCTCCTGCAGATTTACAAAAAAAAAACAAGGTTATCTTTGCTTCTGCAGACTCGACTCAACTCTAATCTGCAGGCCAAACATCCAAACGCTGCAGCTGATGCGAAACTCTGCTGCCAGGCTTTTAACACATTCACACAAAGAGAAGCAGCAGCCGCTTCACAGCAATCCTTGCTGCCCTTCAGCGCCTACCTGGAGTCTTAGAAATTATTTTAAGATTTTACCGCTTGTTTTTGGAGCCTTGAATCTTCAGGCTTCTGCCTACATCTGCAATCCTCATTCTCATCTGACTGGAGATCTCATGTAAACTCAGTATCTTGTTTAAAATATGCTCTTAAAAACTCATTTGATCATTTCTGTTTTTCTTAACTGATGGTAATTGCATTTTTTTATCCTGTTGGATCTTAGGTTCTTGGTCTTATATTGTCTTATTATCTTTGTCTTCTTGTAATATCATTACGTGTGCAATTTCCAGTTTCATGTGCAACACTGTAACTTAAACTGTTTTCTAATTTATTACTCTGGTTTAGGCAAATTTATGTCTTTTCTATACAGTACCTTTTACTTACATAGTACTTTTATACTTTTCTTTTACATATAATGTTTCATTTTTAATTTTTTACATTTCTACATTTATTGCCCGTCTTCTTCTTCTTGAGTTCCACAGTTTCATTATTCATGTCAAAGTCCTTGTGTGTGTGAGCTCACTTGGCAATAAAAGCTTTCTGTATTCTGTATTTTTTTTATGATGTTCTTAATGTCATGACTTCTTAATTTTGATTTCTAAAGGTTCCATATGAATAAATTCTGTTATTACTAAAATCAGGAAAATATCACATACAGTTGTGACTCAATAATCCGACACTAAATGTAAAACCTTCTTTTATGTCGGATAGCAAGGCCGTCGGATTGTCAAGACGGAGGTCGAGATACAAGGAGGGCTTGATGCTTGAAGGCTCATTTGTTGTTAGTTATTGTTCATAGTTGTTATAATAACTAGTAGGGCTGGTCCCAATAGCACTTTCTGGTCTCTGGATATTCAGGCCCAATTAATGATGAATATCCAAATATTTGGCGCAGTCTGGGGGACCACTTTCACCCCGGGTGAGCGCTCCGACGGGGTGGAAGTGGCTGGAACGCACAGGAAGTACTTGGCTGCTGATGCCAGCTTTGGAAAGTGGTCACAGTTCTGTTTCCAACATTGGTGGCGCCACCTTCCGCAAACAATGAGCTCGCTCACTGTGTGTTACGTCATCGTGTCCTCTTCTGCACATGCGGGACACTTTTGGGTCGTATGAAGTTCACACAGCAGATCACACACAAGTCGCATTTAATTGGAAACGTGAACAAACTCGGAAAAAAAACGATTTCACAGAAAATTCTGAATTGAGCATTAAGTCCTGCAGTCTGAACGTATCCAATCAGTCGGATTGTTCAGTCAGATAATACGCGGTTATCCTTATTTGTGACATAAAATGTCATGTTGGAGTCGGAATCCAAGGCTGTCGGTATGTTAAGGCTGTTTGTTGTGTGTTCTGTTCGTTTTTCCCAAAAACTTGTCAGATAGAAAGGTTTTCAGATTGTTAAGAGTCAGATTATCGAGTCTGTATTTTAATTTATGTCATTGTGGAATCTCAGACATGACAGCATAGCTTTCTGTCACTCATTACATTTAATGTTTCAAATCGACCGACTAATAGACTGAAATAAAGTCCCGACGACCGGATGCATAAATTAGAGCCGTTATGAGTTGTTAACGGTTTGTGAGTCTTCAGCTCACATCAAAAACACATGCCACCGACTACTGGTCGTCATATCTCATCCACACGTGATAAAAACGGGCTTTGAAACAAGTCACAGCTATAAATAGGCTGAGGAGGAATGTGCGAGTGAAGTTGGGAAGAAGCACAGAAATATTCACTCATCCAGTCAATCAAAGCAGCTCCATGAATAATAAAATATGCAAACTGAGAACTGAAACCGTCCTGTTTCATAGTGTGAACTCGACTAGTTTGACGCCTGCAGTCTCTGAACTTTGACCAGCAGATGGCTCAGTGCCTCCTTCTCTGTTGTAAATGTCAAATCTGAACCTTGAGCCAGTTTATTGTTTGTAATTTGGATGTTGTGGACGTTAATATTTTACCTCTGCATTCACAGTTCCTTGTAATGTTGATGGGAAAATGGGTTGTTCTCTATCAAGCATGCAGTCGAATGAGGGGAGAGGGGAAAAGAGGCAAAGGGTGGACGATCAGCGGGGGCGTCTTACCTTTGGTTTGAGAGAGAAAGTGGTGACATAAAGGAGAAGTGGGGCAGGTGTCATTGTTGCCAGAGAGTAAAGAGGGAGAAAGCATCAGCCCTTGTTATTCCAGAGAGTGGAAGGAGGAGGAGGAGGTGAAGGAGGGAAGGCAGTAAAACAGAGAGAATGTGAGCGGAGAATTTATTCTATACCTTCACAAAGGTGTTTCTAAGGTGTGGATCAGTTCTTTTTCTCTTCTCACCTGGTCGGTGGAAGTGTTGAGGCGACCTGGACAGAGTCGGAGTGTAGCTGTGGCGGTTGTACAGCGCGTGAACTCCAAAAGATCCGTGACTTCGAGATTTGGGGATTCTCATTTCCAAACTCTCCTTGAAAGAGCAAAGACACGACAGCAGAGGCACGCGTCGGATTTTAACGGGGGTCTGACAGCGATGTAAAGTAACCAAGGACATTCACCCACATTCTGTTCTTACAGGTTTGCGGTGCTTTAATTGAGTGTTTGCATTTTTCTGCTACGTACAGTTTTTCTCTTTGGTTCATTTCTCAGATCAGAATTGAAATTCTCAAAACTACTTGTTCAGTCTTCACATCATTGGGTCACTTGTGCAAAAAAGCAGTTCCTCATAAGTCTTTACATGCAAAAGGCTGAACAAGTTGTCGTCATATGTCGAGCATATCTCTATTAATTTCCATTAGACTTTATTTCTAAATCTGTCCTGAATTGGTAAGTTGCTCCCTCTTGACTTTCTCTAATGAAGGGAAATGTGTGTAGCATCACATAGATCAACCAATGAGGTGCATCTTCTGAACCATCACCTGGCAGGTATAGAGGAAGTCTGCTCTGTAATTCCTACAGCACTGCATGTACAGTTTTCCCTCAGGAGGCTGTCCTATGTTCACATTTCTACTTTTTCTCTTTGTGCTATGCCGTGCTGTCTTTTCCTTTCTGTACCTCAACGACATGGTCTTTCAACAAATTACAGTAAATGTGAATCTTGTCCATTGAACTACGGATATTGAGCAAGTAAGTGCCTTTTGCAGCTAATCCCTGGTGTTCTGCTGTTTGTACGAATTGTTTTGAGAAATGCACTTCCTGTTTTTCCAAATGCTGAGGATGATTTGAGAAATGTTCCCAAGCGACTGAGAATACTTCAACCAAACCTAAATTCTATACTTTTCACTTCATTGCATTAGTTTGAATAAAACTAAATATAATCAACAAATACAAAATAATGTAATAATGTTGGAAAATCCCACAGTGATGCTTATTTATTAGATTAAGATAAAATTTCATTTGTTCCAAGGAGGAAATGTAAAAATTACCCATCAGTAATAAACTCATTTGGTTTCTCTTTGATCTGTTCCAAGGGATGACACATGAATTATGATCCGACAATTTAGAATTATATCATTTACTTATATTCTAAAATGGGAGATTTTGCACAAAGACCCGAGCTCTTGTTTGATGTGCTTTTTTTTGTTTTCAAATTTCTTTTTGCTGTTTGATCAGATCAAATAGCAAAGAGAATAACAAATTTTTTAAAAATATATAAAGCAAATGTAAATATATTTTAAGAACATATTTAAAAATATTTTGAAATAAACAAATAAAGAAATTAGGAATAAATAAACAAAAATAATGAAATAATAAAATAAGATTTTAAAAAGAAAAAAGAAATGGTCAAATAGCAAACAGAATAAAAAAAAATTAAAAGATATAAAGAAAATTAAAATTGATTTTGAAACTATATAAAAATATTTTAATAAAAAAAATTAAGAATAAATAATAAACAAATAAATGAATAAAATAAAATAAAATAAAATAAAATGAAATAAAATAAAATGTTAAAAAGAAAAAGAAAAAAAACTACTGTAGTGATATAGCCCAAAATGTGATGGCCAGGTTGTAAGAGGTTAAGCACATGTTGATACTGACAACAGAGTATTTGTAAACTGTAGTAGAATTACTTTTACTGGAGTACAAGATCTGAGTATTTCTTCCAGCACTGCATTCTGGTACATACCATATGAGACCAGATTTCACTGTACTTCTATTAGTCTGATCTAACTTAACTAATTAAAGTTAATAATAACAAAAAATGTAAACAATTAAGAATTATTTACCTCCTTGGTTTCAGATATGTTTCCAGGCGACTAAATCAGACAAACAGAAGAAGAAAAATCAGTGCAAGAAACTGAATCTTACATCCAACATGAACTAAAAGCAACACAACATGTTCTGACTTCAGGTGAAAACATCGTTTCTCCAAACAGCCTTGAACTCATCCGAACCAATGCACGTCTTTTAAAGGAGGAAAAATGCAACACATGTCCATTTTCTAGTTTTCACGTGAAGACAGTCGTATGAAAGGTAGGCAGGGGGAAAAAAAAGGATTTGATTATAGAGACAAATAATCTAAGATGGTTTCAGGGACACGGGCGCTAACAACAACAACACTAAATAACAACTCACCACTTTTAATTTTTTAATCAGTTTACATTATACTGATAATCAAACATTCTCTGATTGTGTTGTACATCATCAGCCAAATTCTCTTTTTAAAAAATGCCCCCTTTACACCTGATGTGATTTTCAGAATGTTTCATTCATATCGAGCTCCTAATTTACACTTAAAGACACATTTATGCATTTTGGGCCAAACACGGTAAACAAAACTTCACTTGGTTTGACTGATAACTCAAACCAAGGCAAAACACGGAAAAACAATGACACACAAACATGTCACCGGATGAAAACGTGGAGCGTCGTTACCTCTGCAGGACTTTGCCTGTCCTGTCTGTTGCCTTTTTCGTCCAAAGTAGAGGAGTTGCCGTTCACAGACTTATAGGATATCATATCAGGATGCTCTATGTCATATATAGCCTTGACTCTGGGAATTGCTGCTAAGTCTCTGTAATCAATGATCTCATTATCTACTTTTGCCTGGGACCAAGAGAGGAGAGGAGAGGAGAGGAGAGGAGAGGGGAGGATGGGAGGGATGAAGAGAACAACAGAGGGAGCAGACAGCACGGGTTAGGTCAGGTGAAAGGTCAAAGGTTTCTTATTGTTGCACGTCAGGGAGGAATCAAACTTTAATCCCACAATTAACACCACAATGGTCTGACTTTGGCACATGAGGCCGACAGATTTACTTTCAAATGACAATCTGCTTTTTCTGTGTTGCCACGCTAAATAATTCTCCTTCAAATATAAAGAAAAACTCAAGGTCAGTAGTTTTTGGCTCATGTTCGGAGGTGTTCTGATGGGGGTAGAGTTTGTTCCGTTTCATAAACCAACAGGATAATCATGGAAGATAGGAGGCTGGATGGAGGAAAGAAAAGGACACTGAAAGCACCATGTCTGTTTTTTTTTATAATCAAACTCAATCTGAACGCATTCAAATTGATTGAGCAAATAAACTCCTATTCAATGTACGGTTGATTAAACTGAGAACATTTCAATCGGCTTCAGCCACAATTGAAATCACATTTTCTCTCACAAGCAACATCAAACTAGTTCCGATCAGTCAAGGTAAAGTTGCAATAAAATAAAATAAAATAAAGGATTTTAATTGAGATGTAATGTTCTGCTAATGTTTCTAAAGTTGTTGTTTTTTTATTTCTCATTTACTGTCAAAAAGAATCATCTTGCATGAGGGACACTCTGTCCGTGCGACTGCCCTGCATGAATAAAGGGATAAATGACACGTAAATCAAGCCCCGGGTGAATTGTGCACCACCAAGGGAAGACGCTCAGCAGATGTTGGAACTTACACAGATATTTCGACCAGGACTTCCTGGAGTGCATGAGCCTGGTCTGGAGCTGGAGCTTTCAGATGATGATCGAGTGGGCTGAGAGTTAAAAAAAAAAACAAACAAAAAAAACACAGAAAACAAATGACATTAAAATAGCACTTTGTATGTAGTGTTAAATATAGTTCAAGTGCATTGTTTTGAATTGTAATTAATTAACCCTCTGAACTCCAAGGAGATTTTGGACAGTTTTTTTTTTTTTCTTCAACATAAATCCTGCATCTCTATGGAAACAACAAAACTATGGCGAGAACTAAAAGAACTCAAACATGTCTTCTGTGCAGTATGACACATGTACAATACCATTAATCACAAAAAGTTAACTTTCTTTAACCTCTTAAGGAACGGAGCTCTTGTTTGATCTGCATTTTTTTTTTATTTCTCTTGCAAAGACAGTAAAAAAAAATAAAATTAAATAAAAAAAAATATAAAGAAAATAAAAATAGATTAAAATTTTTTTAAAAAAATGTAAATAAAAATAACAATAATAACATTTTTTTTTAAAAAGGTTAAAGAGGTTAAAGATTTACATTATATAATTTTGTTTATTTTTTTTATGATGACTCCATATTCTGTAGATACGTCACTATTTATATTTTTAATTAGTTTCCATACTTGTCTCCCGTCTGTTCTGTGTAAACACAACCTGCAGTTCAACCAAAGAAATCCAAGACTTCTGGTCACGTAACTGTTGGTTGCAGCTGCACCATCTAGCCTTTCAGCTGCAATAAGGAGCACCAAATCTTTTAGTTTTTCCAGAATCTGGTTCGACGAAACATTTTATTTTTGCCAAATTTGTGTGTGGAAAAAGGCAGAATAATGTGATTTTGATTAAATATCACAACGTTAAGCTTAGATATGGTTAATTGAACTGATGAGTAGTTGAAGGGCCGTTGGAAAGTCGAGTGTCACACAATTCTTCCTGTTTTTACAATTTCTGGTTCTGACTTTGGCGGGTTTTAGAGTTCAGAGGGTTTCTACCAATTTCCACTAATAAATCACAAAAGGCAGCCAAAGCAGCCACTAACAAAAGACACGATGGTGTATTATAAATCGTGGAGGCGCTAGTAGACAGCATGGCCTGAAATGAACACAGCCAAGCATGCAACACTGTCATCAAACATCTGCTCACACGTACAAATGAAAATAAAGGCTCTCTTATTCATTCCTGGATTCAAAATTGGAATATATAAGAGAGAATCTTGTTCTATGAATCAAAAGCAGTCGTTGTCTGTTTGCTGCTAGTTTAAAAATCAGCAAACAAGACTGATAAACGGCCAGCCAGCTGAGCAAAGTGCCCGTCTTAATGCACGTGAAACAAGCAAGTGTGGTTAATGTCAAATTCAGAGATGACAGCCTGCTCACGCTACGCAGCCATCGGTGCAAACAGCAGGCCTGCTCACAATATTAACCTTCAGTTCATGTTTGGGGTAAAAGAAATCAAGCGAGGGTGTTTTTGGTCTGCGGACCTGGGAAGGAAGACAGCGTGTCAAGAAATGACATTGAACAGCCACGTTTTTATCATGTAGGACTTTATAGATGTCACACTGGGATTTTATTTATACCAGCAATCATGTTAAATATTACTGACTTGTTCTGAGAAGTTGTTGAAGCCAGTCCTCCTCTGACATAATGAATTACATGTCACATAGAAATACAGTTGAGTGTTAAGGTAGAGAGCTCTCACCCTGTAACTGTCCTCAGTCCGGCTGCTGTCTCTGCAGTCTGGATGCCAAACTGTCGATCCTATGAAAGCAGGAACAATCAGCCACTGCAGCGCTAACACTTTGAACTTCTACATCCTCACCATGAAAATGATGTCTTGTATATTCAACGACTGTGGGGGAAGTATTATGTGCTCCGTTTTCTATTATGGAATGACTGAAACACATAAATCTTTGTAACAAAAAAAAAAACAATCATGCGTTGTGGTTGTTTCATAGATTTATTCTAAGTCTTCTGGAAATATAACAAAATCTGTTGGATCTTGAATTATCAGATGTAGAAAGCTGTGTTAATGAAATTTGCTTTGTGGAATGACCTCAGATCTGAAAAACCCAATCACTGATTTGAACCAGTCGGGAAAGTCACTTGGAGTCTTTTCAAAGCAGCTCCTGTTTCCAGAATCCACTGTGCAAACATGTGTGTTCAAGTTTAAAGTGCACAGCTGTGTCACTGCCACGATCAGGAAGAAAATACAGACTCATGAAAAATCAATAGCTGCTGAGAGACAGTTGGTCAGGATGGATCAGGAGTCAAACAAGAATCACCAAAAATCAGGTCTACAATGAATGAGAAGCTGCTGGAACACTGTGTCCACAGTCAGGTGTGTTTGACAACATCAGGGGATGAGAGGCCGCCACGCAAGAAGGAAGCTCTTCCTCCAGAAATGGTGTCTTAAGGCTTTGCTGCTGATCACATGAACAACAAAAAGGCCTTCAGGAGGAAAGTTCTCTGGTTAGATGAAACAAAAAATGAGGTCTTTGGCCAGAAGAGAAGGTAAGGCCTTTAACCCCCAAAACATCCAACCTGCTGTCCAGCATGGTGGTGGTAGCATCATGCTCTGGGGCTGTTGTGCTGCCAGTGGAACTGCTGCTTTACACAAAGTAAATGGAATACTGAGGGAGGATGATTACCTCCACCTTCTTTAGAGAAACCTAACATTATTTGCCAGAAGGTTGGATCTTCTACGCAAATGTTTTGCACATCAAAAACTGGAAAGAAATGGCTAAATGAGGCTAAAATGTAGTCATATTTCCAGAAGACCTACAGTAAATCTATCTTAAAAAAATCAACAACAAAATATTTTTTTGTAACAAAGACATGTGTGTTTCAGTGATTTCATCATAGAAAATTAAAAGTTAAAGAAGTCACTGGAAACTCAAGACTGTCACAATATACATGGTCTATACAAGAGCACATAAGCTGATTTATAGTTTATATTAACAACCTGGATGTGTAAAATAATGAGTAACTACAGCTTTTAAATATAAGCAGTAGAGTAGAAAGTACATGACTTGCCTCTAAAATAAAGTGGACTAGAAGTAGAAAGCCTTATAACATGGACATATTTAAGTGAAGTGCTTGAGTAAACGTACTTCGTAGTATTTTACCATTGCTCACTGATTAGCTATAACAACAAACTGACCATGCAGATACATCTCCTCTCCTTCTGTGAACATTTTGTCACATCTGCTGCATCTTGCACAACTGGGGTGATAATGTTTGTCTCCGGCCTAAAGCAAACAACGAGGAAGCCAAAAGTTAGACAGACTGCATTTATACAAGGATTACACAAAAGACAGGTTCAGGAGTCAGACCTGTTGAGCAACAGTTTGATTGAATGGATTTGTTCTACCAGCACATTTACAGAACAGCATAAAAAGATATAAAACAACTGAAAATCAAAGAGAAACCTTTGGATTGTATTCATTCTAATAACAGAGACAAATGAGAGAAATTAAATTTGCACATTAAAATAATGGATGTAAATGAGTAATCAGAGCAAAGATTTGATGTTTGAACGATGAATGTTTCACCAGACAGACAGTTAAAACTTGTGCTGTTTACAGTTCAGGTGTTGTTTAAAGTGCATCTATGGGGAGGTTTTTAAAGAAAGGTTCGACAAAATGTAGTCGAATATTCACACAACACCAGGAGGATGACTCTTCACTGAGACTAAATCTTTCTCACCTCGAGGACTTTTCCTGTTATGAACTTGCGACATGCGTGACACTGAACCCCAAACTGAATCTGGTAGTCTCTCTCACAGTAGGGAACGCCATCTCTGAAAGGAGATCACATGTTCTCATCGATGTTGTGGTTATAATCCTATAGTTTCTTGTCATTCTAACATTTATTATCAAGAAAAAAAATGACACTAAAGATGCTGCTGCAAAAGAGAATCATGACTAAGAAGTGAAAGCATGAAAGAGAGGCTTGTCTTTACTTGCTGATGTATTCTCCACTCAGGACTCTCCTGCAGGCTTTACACTTGAAGCAGCCCAGGTGCCACTGACCACCCAGAGCCAGCAGAGCCTGGCCGTTCTTGATGTCTCTGCCACAGCCGGCGCAATCTGAAACACACACATACGAGTAACTGCACTCGTTCCAACAGACTTTTTTTTTTGACAGGCACCTCTCTGTGCCCCCCCGCAGACAGATCCGCTTAATCCAGAGGCTTTGTGAGTCTGAATCCTTTATTGATCCCTGCTGTATCTATAATCATTAAGTGGATGAGTTCAAGTCGAAGTCATCTCTTATTCCGAAGTGAGTCAATGGCCTGGCGGGAGTCCAAGAGAATGGCTGGATTTATAAAGTCAAATTGTGCAAAAAAATCCTTTACAGCAGGAGGAGGTTAGAACCAGAGTTCAACCAGGTCAGACATGAAACAAACCTTTCAGACATTAGAAGTAATCTCCTGGTTGAAGATTGATGGTTGTGATGCATTTATGTTTTTGTCCTAATGACATGAAGTCTGCTCATGTATGATTCAGTTTGACTTGAACATGAATGACTCAGGCAGCTGGCACAGCAGCCACAGCTGGCCAGTGTTCAGTGCATAATCCACTGTCTGATTGGGCCTGCAGGGGATCAGAGTGCTTCATCTGTTTCAAAGCTGCATTAATAAATATATTCAATATGATTGTGAGGAAATGACACAAGAATGTACTCACTGTTGGAGCGGCGGACGTCTTTAGGAGAAGGAGACGCGGGTTCGATGCAGCGCTGACAGAGGCACTCTTTTCCACTGAAGGTGACACAATCCCCAGCAGGGAAAGGCTGCCTGAGAAACACAGAAAAAGACGGAGGTTTACCACCAAATTCCTGGTTGCAAAACAGGCTTGTGAAACTGAAAATCCCCAAAATGTTTTTGCAGTTACTTGCAAAGGGTGCACACAAAGCAGGCTGGGTGGTAAGTCTTTCCCAACACCGTGACCACCTCTCCCTCCACAAACTCCCCACAGTTGCTGCACAGAGTGCCGTGGAGTCGCTGGAAGTCCAGCGGGCAGAGAAAGTCCCCGTTCTTCATGAAGAAGCCACTTTTAGCCAAGTCGCAGCCGCACACTGCACAAAGACACACAAAACGTTAAAGGAACGTGATAAAATATTGGAGTATTTTCTGTTAACATTGCATCAGTGGGTTATGATACGGTAAAGGGAAGGTGTGGAAGGTGCTGCTTGTATGAACCAACAGATGATTATTAGTAACTGTGGAGCTCTACATGGTCCTAAAGAGGCTCTCAGCTTCTTTACAGCATTGTTTGTATCTCTGGTAAACTTAGTGCACATGACCGGTCTAGTGCCAAAAGGGCAAATGGAAATTTGGTGAATACGTTTCCCATTCCTAGATAATAATATGTGCAGTATGTTGTGTTCTCAGCAAATAATAATAATAATATTCTAACAGCTGCTGCAAAATCATGGAAAAACACTCATAAAAATACAGCAAATTTACCCAATTACAATACATTTAGTAGCCTCAGTTGCGCACAACCTTGAGTGTTTTTGGGGAACTCGTCGTGTTTAATGAAAGAAATTACCCATAATGTAGACAAATATATTTAAAGTATCACTCTTCAAATTGACAGTTTCATCTGTTAGCTAAAGAGGAAATATTTGTGAAATTATGATAAATCTATGAATGTATTTCAACAGTCTTTTGATGTTAAAAAATTTTTAAAAAAATAAATGAAAAGTTTATTCAGAGTAACAGAATTTCAATGGTATTATACATTAGACATATTGGTATTCTTATAGTTTTTGTTTTTTACTTTTTATGTTCATGTATTCCCAAAAATACTGAAAAAATCTATAAAATAGAAATAAAAAATTCTGTAAAAAAGATGTATTCTTTTTACAGTGTAACTAAAGATGTAAATTTGTACAGCATCAGCAAAGCAAACACATAAATAAATGTCATCCTAAATTCTTTTTGAAACTGACGCTTGTGTTTTTCTGCCTCATTCAGTAGTTTTTGAGCCCATATTAACCACACATCATTCTAAAAAAAAAAAACATATTTTACACATAGTTCTTTGCTTTTTATGTGCATTGGTTTGCTTGGTTGTCTTTTGTCTGACATTTCATTTCGTGTGTGGCTGCTTTGTCAGCTTCTTCCAGGCTCCTGTCACAGTAGTAAGTTAAAAGCAGCTACTTAATCCCTCACAGAGGACTAATTGGACTGTCTGACTGCACGATTCTGCCAGACTCTCCAAAGTGTTTATGTGCATCTGAGTGTATGCATGCATCTGTCTGCATTGTGCGTGTGCACTGATCAGCCGAGTGGCAGGTTACTGACAGGATGTAATATTTTCTGTCAGCTTGTTCGGAGTCATTTGATACGACAAAAACCTACTCTGTCCCTCTGAGGCTGCCACAACAGAATGCACCGAGATGCCAAGGACAGATTTATGCTGCTCTATTTCTGTCCCACAGTGACTCACTCACAATGTAGACAAGTTTTGCTATTTTAACGTTTGAATGAAGGACACACAAACACGCTGCTCTATTCTCTGAGCACATAAATAGTTTAAATGATATACAATTAACTTACAAAAATCCTATGTTAAATGAATCGATCTTATGATGAGTATAAATGCAGTAATTGAGTGGCTTACATTCTTAACTGGTTTAACAACTAATTTATTACGAATACCATCATTTCTCATAATCACATTCTGATCCATTTCCACTGCTACAATACTGCAAACCCTCCTCTGAAAGTCTCTTTGTTTTCTCTGTGCTGCAGACAACATCACGATGTGATGAAAGGCCGACAACATGAGAAGCCTGTCAGTGCTGATTAGTGAGGACAATAGCTTGCTGAGGAAATATGTTTTCCACGAATCAGAGTAACTCTATTGAATGACCGTCTGATAACCCAGGAGGTTCTCTACAACAGCCCATTGTGCACACAGACTGTTTTGTAATAACATTAATTTGATGGCATCCACGAGGTGACCAATAAATTATCAACTAATTGTGCTCGATTTAAAATGAATGCAGAAAATGGGTCATTTAATACAACCCAAAGGTCACCTGCAGTGCTGTTTGAATGTAAAATACACATTAACACGTATTAATTTCCATGCTGACTGACTTGCTACAGGGTCAATATGTTCCAAATTCAGACCCAGATTTATTAAGTAAAAAACAAACCACTTGAACGCTTCAGCAGCAAAGGATCTTTTGTTCTGGGTTAACTGGTGCTACACTTTGATCTTCCCCTGATTTAAACGCAGAATTCTTGGCTTGACAATCTCAGGAAAATTAGAAACCTTATGTGTGTCTCACTGCCAGTTTAAACAAGGCCAGACTGAAATGGCCACTGGTACTGGAAACACTGTAGTTCAAGTTGATGTTTCCGTTACTTCCTTATCAGATCTGACCAGTTTATCTTTATTAGCAGGTTACGTACCACATGCTCTTAAGACTGCTGCATGTCAACATCTGGTCAATACGTCTAAATCTGGTCTAGGTGTTTTCGTTTTCACATTTTATTACAGGGACTGGAACACGTCACTGGGATTAAAGTAAACAAGGCTGGTTTGAATCATATTTATCACATAGATTCAAATTTGTTCATGTCAATGACTATTAGTCCACACACACAACAGTTAGTTATGGCGTTCCACAGGGTTCTGTGCCAGGACCACTACTATTCAACAGCTATGTGCTCCCCTTAGGCAATATTCTTAGGAAACACTGCATACAGTTCCACTGCTATGCAGATGACATTTAGCTATAGGATCTTTTACCTGCACAGTTGAGGCAGATAACCACCCTTCCCGAGCCTGGTTCTGCTGTAGGTTTTGTTAAAGGGGAGGTTTTTCTTCCCATTGTTATCAAAGGGAACAAAGGGAATCTTTGAATGTGTTGGACTTCTCTCTGTCTTATAATATTATAAAGGCTTCACCTCACTGTGGTGCCGTAAGATGACAAACATTGTGAATTTGTGCGATATGAATAAAACCGAAGTGCTACAGTGCCAGATTTTTTTTCTCCCAACACATTGATGGTACTTACCTTTGCATGTGAAGCACTTTATGTGGAAGTAGCCACTCTGGACTCGCAGCACCTCTCCTTTGCATGACTTCCCACATCTGAAGCACTGGATGACCTGCTTCCCCGCTGGAGGACATGAGTGTCCATTCTGGGCATGTAGCACTGCAGGGGCAGAAGATTTAATGAATCAGTTAAGCCTTTATCTATTATTATCTGTTTGCTGTCAGCACATCATATAAAATATCAGTGCTGTAAAGCCAGTTTGGCAGCTACCATCCCTTTGTGTGTCTAGTGGGCAACTGTTCAGTCTCAGAACTATAAAGCAGCAGGAACCTTATGAAATTGTTTATAAGTAACTTTTCAAGTTGTGTATGTCTGCTGTTTTTCATCCTTTTCTCTTGCAAGGAAAGGTCCAAATGTGTTCTATTACATGCAAAAGACAACACGCTAACATGATGGCACAGGAGGAAAAGTTAAAGGTTTTCAGGGTTCATCTTTTAGAGACCATAGAAGCCTGCACAAACCTTTATGGCAGTCTGTCCAAAACTTGTCAGGATAGTTCTATCAGTCTGGGACACAAGCAGTTTGTGTGGCTGAAAATACTAAATGTTCAACTACTGTAGTAGATGTACGGTCTTCCTCAAATGTATTCATACCCTCCCATTAAAGAAAAAAAAAACTGAATTAAGTCAAATTGACAAAAGTAATAATAAATAAAAATGTAATGAAAATCATGACATTGCTTTTGAATTGTGGTTCAACAGAAATATACTTAAACAAAAAAAACCCCCAAAAAACAAGCAAACAAGTATGATGGGACCCATAAACTAATATTTTGTTGAACAACCCTTTGAGTCAATCACTGCAATCAAATGTTTTCTGTAACTCTCAGTCAGACTTCTTACGTATTTTGATTTTGGCCCACTGCTCATCAGCAAAGTGCTCTAATTTGTCCAGGACAGTTTTTTTTTTTTTTTTAATTATTATTATTATTCTTTTCAACCACAATTCAAAAGCAACATCTTATTTCACGAAATTATAATTTAGCAAATTTTTATTTATTATTACTTTTTTCAGTTTCCAGTTATTTGAGTGACTATTGTGAATTTTGCCTTTTCTTTAATGTAAGGGTATGAATACATTTGAGGACGACTGTACATACTCTTTAACTATAAATCCAGCATAAATTGCAGTTCAAAATAAAAACAAAATGGGTAAACACGATGTAGAAGATGAAACAAGGTCTAAACATCAGAAGATACCAGACATTGTCAGTTTTCTTGTTTATGCACTCAGACAGTGAAACATGTTAAATCCACCAGCACAGGATGAGCTGACCTTGAGAAACAGCCAAGTGTTTGGAGACACAAACAGCACACTTCCAGGTAATGACAACCTAAAGCGTGGCTTCTGTAAGACAATGCACTGTGTAGAGCAATCATCTTTCTCCTTCTATACGGTAGGTTTATCCTTCTCTGCCTGGACAGCCCTTAATAACATTAATCCCCTGGAACAGTCCTTTCACTTGTTATGTAACTGAGCGTAATGTACAGACACGCTATGTTTTGCCAGAACCACACACACACAAACACACATACGTACACTCAGAGGCTCTAGTCCAAGTGAATAGTACCTCACGGAAGACGGACAAGAGCTCACAAACAAGCCATTATTCTCCAGCAGAGGGTTAAAAGGATTAAAGTCACAACAGTGTTCCTTCTAAATGAGCTGTGGTGTTTGTGAGCCCAACTGTAGCACGAAAAATCTCATTCTTCCTCTTTCTGTCTCTTTCATGTTTATATGGCAGCAGCAGCAGCAGAAGCAGCAGCAATGGATGCCTGTACAATCTAATCAGGGCCCACTTGAAAGGTCCTCGATGTGATTAGCAGAGGAGAGGGAGGAAAGAATGTGGCACACTGAGAGCGTTCTCTTCCACAGTGTGAAAACTCAGCGAACAAACACAAAAACAGACACGTGAGCTTTACATTTTCATGTTGTTGGTCATAACACGAACACACATCTCCTCCAAGATTCAGAATTCACTCGCTAAATTCAGCTTCCTTGAAAATATATCTCATTCAAGAGTTTCTCTTTTTTTAAAAAAATCTAAATATATTTTCCAAACTGAAAGATTTCAGCAGCTTCAAGGTGTTTTCAGACTGACCTGACCACCAAACTCAGCAAAAAACCGAGTCAGGCACCGTTGGTATGTGGCCTCAAGTCGGCCCCATAACAGGAGAGATTTGTTACCATGGCAACAAGCATGTAGAACAAGATTAAGAGACCATGCCTCCCAAAGGTTAATAGAAAGTTCACTGTCCTGTCTGTACAGTTTAAAAGCCAGCAGTGAAGTATGCATTGTACAGTACCACAGTACTGCAGTACTGCAGCAGTAATCTACAGTCTAACAATCCTAAAGCAGTCTGACAAACTCTACTAACCAATAAACATGTAAACAAACAACTGCAGCTTTAGCGACGACACGATTTGTCCACTTAAGGCTTACACTTTAATCTAGAAGAGCCTTGTAAGCATGGTAGATTTTACTGAAGCTCGTAATGCTGAGAAGAAAAGGCTTTGGTTTGAGGCATCTTTTGCATGTCACGATGCATTAAAGAACATTATGAAGGGATTATTTCTGCATGTCAGGAATGTAAAGAGAAAGAAAACTAGGTTATAGCACCAGCACATTTTGAATTCAGATATTCTGCAGCAAAGTACCCTATAAACATGTGAACATGAGAGCCAAACTTAACAGAATCCTAGTGGGAATGTTGCCTATTAGTCTGGCCAAGGCCACCAATTACTATAAATTACTGATGCAGGATATTGGATTTTTGCTAAAATCAAACATGAGGATATTTTCCAGCTCATTTTGGCCGACTCAGTTTGTCGACACTAATATATGCACATATTTTTTCTGTGTAATTGCAGAGAACATCAAGTCTCTCCTTATCGTGATGGCGCAGGCAGATGGAGACTTGAGATCTGAATATCTTTCCAAATGTACTCATTAAGAAAACTACTTCAGCTTACATGAAAAGCATGCAGAGTTTACTTTCATGAAACATTTTATTCAATCTGACACCTGTTGTTTACCAGTCTTTGCTTATTTTTGGCCAATATGTGATCTTATGGCCTGCATTGGCCGATATCAGTGATATTCAGATTCAGATTCGTTTTATTGTCATTGCAACGAGTACAACAAAAAATAAGGTGTGGGCCTTTCAGTGCAAAAACAAAATATAAAAACTTTGTAAACAAAGGAGGATGATGGCAGTATTATTGTGCATCTCAACTGAAAATACTGAAAACGTCTTAAACATTTCTGAATGTCAGAGGTGTACTGCCACAACAAATTCATAAAATCCATCCGTCATGGTACTGGACAGAATGTTCAAACATTTTTTGAACTAACAGATGAGTAACAACAGACTATGCTACACTATATTATACTATACTATACTATGCTAGGCTATGCTTTCTCCACTACACTACACTATGCTATGCTATGCTATGCTTTACTACACTATACTATGCTATGCTATGCTTTACTACACTAAACTATACTATGCTATGCTATGCTATGCTTTACTACACTACACTACACTATACTATACTATGCCATGCTATGCTACACTACATTGTACAACACTATACTACACCATTCCATACTACCCTACACTACACTACACTACAGTATTGTACAGTGTACTGTACTGTACTATGCTATACTACATTATACTACACTGTACTATACTATACTATACTATACTATACTACACTACACTGTACTACACTGTACTATACCGTACTATACTGTGTAAATAATACAATTTACAGTACATCACATATGTGCTATTATCCCGTACATACAGTACACCAATTGAGCACGTTTAGTTCTTGTGTCAAAGGAGTCTTAAAAGATTTTGAAAAGTCCTAAAGCCAGAATGTGAAGCTGATATGGTGTCAAGTATTAGCAAATGGTAGATTTAGAAAGACGGCAAATGGAGAGAAACCTGAGACGACCAGCTAATCACACAGCCCACTATCTTCAGCTCCAAAAGTCTGTATATGTGTGTACATGTGCGCGTCCGTGTGCACGAGGAGTGACGGAATATCTATTTTAAGGATTTAGTTGTTTTTTTATGTGGCTGTTCAAACACGCTTTGTTCTCTTTCTACATAAGCATGTAAGTTATCTTCATTATAGTGCAATTTTAGTGCAACTATGTGCTCATGTTGTTGCTTTTATAACAAGCCAAAGTTAGTTTGAATGAATTAGTCGATGGAGAAGGCTAAAAAGTCAAGAATTGATTCAAATTTGAGCAATGTTTGTAGTATGAATGCCAATTTTATTGAAAGAGCAATGCGTTTTGGCTTGTGGGCTTCAACTAAATGTTCCTAATGCCTGGAGTTAAAGGTGCTTTTCATACAACAAATGTTGCTGGACAATGACAAGATTTGACCTTTACAAGCTGCATGTGATCACAGTATATGTATTAAAAATCCTTGTTAGCAGTGATTTGTGTTTACATTAAATATCTGCCCGTTTCCTGGATCGTTAGTGTTGCTGCTCAGATGGTGGCAACATTTTTTGAGTGCAACTTTTTTCTGTTGTGAAAAATCCTGATATCAGTACAAACAGGTTATAATGAACCTGCATATCAGGAGAATCCACTTTGCAATATGACCGAAAGAAATCAATCAAATTTCACGTCTTGAAATAGCACCCAAGCTGAAAACTTGATTCAGAATTACAGTTTCTAACAATACTTTAAAATAACTTTGAGACGTAAACGGAGATTAAAAGCTCAAACAAACTCTTCTGTTCAATATCGGCAGCAGACGTTTCCTGAGGACATCGGACTGCAGTGTCAGTGTCATGTCAACAAACACTAATGTAATGAAATGCATGAAACCACTGATCCACTGTGTGATGTTACTTATTACTGATGTGCAAGAGACAATAACTTCACCCTGACTAAAGAGTCAACACCGCAGCTCAGCCACAACAGGACATCTGTCTGCTGCCTGTTGCTGCAAAATAGGATAATCAAGAAAAAAAAAGCCCTGCTTGATTCAGAAGTATTTCTAAAATCACATGCTGGTCTTACTCAACACGATGTTCTACGATTAGCTGTAACAGCTGTTCTTGCACTTTTCCCCACTTGGCAACTACAGTTTTTTTTTTATCACCAAATGTAGTTTGTAGGGAGAGGACTTAGGACAGAAACTGAACAAAATTAGAAAAAGTATAAAATAATGTCACCTTGTTTTCAGAAGACATACATCAGAGCTGCACAAATAATGTGGAGGTTAAATAAGATTCTTAATAACACTCTGGAGTGTAACACATGATCAACAAGGCTCATTTACTGGAACGTAGAACAACAAAGACGTCATAAGCAACACTTGTTTAGAAGAATGAAATGACATCTCTACTGTAGCATCACACAGAGACCACAAACACAAAAACAATTTGAAGTATACAAAAGCGTTAAATGTTGCTTTTAGCTTAAAAAAAAAAAAGTAAGAAAGAAAAAGGCACACTTTAAAAAGTTGTCACCGGCATGGCTAAAAGTGTGACGACGCATGAAGCTTCTAAATCGAAAAGGTAAACTTAATAAAACATAACAAATCGTAGTTACATAAAGACAAACAAAAAGAGTGACACGCCGTCTCATCAAACGTCTACCTTTGTCTTTCATGACAGTTGGTCTCTGCCGGTCTGGGGCTCTCAGCTCACTGCAGCGATCAGAGTGAGGAGGGGAACTAACTGGACTGCTGGTCCAAGAGAAAAGGGGCTGGTTCAAAAACACAGAGGGCAGC